TTCCTTGTCTCCCTTTTCTCACATACATTTTCGAGATACTGTAAGGGCATACGTTTTTGGCCCAGTGTTAGTGTACTTGAATAAAAGCAACCTTCAAAGACTGAAAAGTTAGACTTCCCCAGGCAAAGCAGGCTTCTCTAGTTTGATTTTGTTGAGCCAAAAATTCTATAATCTGAATTCAAGAAATTAACTGAAGCTGGCTAAAATTTTTTAAATTTCTTTTAGGCACATTAAACACTGATACATTATTTAAATCGCATTTATCTGAAGACAATTTGAGTGTATCAATGTAAGTGCCAGTGGGTACAAGTATGCACACTGGAACCATACATGTAGCAGGAGGTTCTCAAAAATATTTTAATGCAGATATCCACCAATTTTTTTAATTCATTAGATCTTACAGTGATACTTCAATTAGGTCCACCATGACTAAGTAGCTCTAAGGTATTTTTGCAAGTGTGTATTTTCCTGCTAATGACACCTCCCTTTCAGCTATTTATGAGGGCAATATTATTACAGAACAATTCATTAGTCCTAACAGAGCAGCAAAGATGTTTCCCTTACACACTCTCTTCCATGAAGTATTGTTTGGAAATCTATACTGATTACATAGATTCAGAACTGTGCACCATTCAGCGAGTGAGAGATACATCCCTTCATCAGCTAGAAGTGCTTTTCTGTTGGGGGCTCACACCGCTGCGATGCATCTGATTCAGGTTATGGAAGACCTGTTTATCAGATGTATTGCTATTGGCCTCAAATCTCAGCTACTGTATCTGAAAAGAGTTTTATTCAGCAGTCACAAGTTCAGGTGAGTTAAATAAGCTATCAAAGGTCAGTCTTACCTAGAAAGAGGATTCAGTTTGCTATTTACACCGCAGGCCAATGAAACCAATGACTTTGTTTTGGAAACCTGAAAATGTATACACAAGACTGCAATTAAAAGAAGTGGCATTTTAGGGCAAAATGACAGATATTTCCAAGAAACAATACTGTAAGAAATCCCTGTTGAACAGTTAAGCCTCATAGTGCTGCCTTTTATATAGATCTACATATACATAAAATGGCAAATACGCATTCCAAAACAAGAGTTTCATAATGTGAAAACCTATTTGTTCATACAGAAGTTCTGTACAAACAACCACCTTTCTAATACCCACCCTTCCAATTTGTAAGCCCTCTTACAACTGATGCCTGTAACTATGCATACAATGCAATCTTTTTGTCTTTGTTGTCATCTTGCTACATACTTCAGTGTCTGGCTGAGGCACTGCACACATGGACCGAGGTGGTAAAATTAATACACCTGTGCCATTTGATTTAGAGATCAAGGTGGACAAGAACGCACCAGTCATTCAAATAGAGAACCATGTATTAAAACATGAAGTTAAGGGTTTTTTTAAAAAGTTTCCACAAAAAATAGCTCCTCAAACCATCAAGACTTATTGGCAAGCCAAGAGAGGATGACTATGCCAGTATTTGCAAGTCTGTGTGAATCAGTTACCAGAAATGCAGATACCACATTTCATTATGAAATTCATTTACTATATAGTTTAGCCTTGCTTAACTTAAAATACGTTGAACTTGAAACAACCGATTTCTCAAATAAACAGCAGGCCACTGCCCTGCCTGGTCATGGATCTAGAAGGGTTCATAGCAGGTCAGAACTGATTAAACCCTTATGTTGTTTGTTCAGAACAGACTTACTTTTTTAGATATTTTCTTTGCAGAAATATGCTTGGCATCTTCATATTCAACAATTGTAGTCACCTTAACTAGAAATATATTAGAAAGACAAGAAAAATTAAGATCTTGTTAAGAGCACAAAACACCACTTCAGACTCATTTGTTTGAAGCCTATTTACCCACTAACAGCTACTTACCAGTTTTGCTACCCGATGGTCATTTGCCTGGGACAGAGTTCAAAGGAAACTACGCGTGTTCGTCACAGACACTGTGACGCATGGGACAGTTACAAGACACTACATAACCGTTCAACCTCCAAAGTAGATTACATTTCAGTGGCAGTGTCCTCCTTATTGCATATTTTGGAATATGAAGAGAAATGGTATTTTCCTTAGAAACCTCGACTGGCAGGAGGTCAAAGGGTAACCTATGAGAAAACAGGGGTGACTTTCCTACCTCTTCTGCTATACTGTAAAGCACTGACAAGTCACTTAAATCTGTCTCTTGCCATTTTCAGTGATAAATCCAAAGGGCAGGAACTATTATCTCATGTTTTAAAGTACCTCAATAGCAGCACAGCTCATGATCCTCTACATTGAATGCTGGGGGGACCTGTATGTTATACTTCTAGTTATATACTTTTCCCTCTTGTATCCTTCAGGCTTAACATTCTCTTTACAAATGCTCAGTCCAAACCAATAAAAAAAGAAAATTTAAGAACCAAGTTATATATTAATGGATTGACTCGCCTTTTTTGCTGTTGGTCCTCACCAGTTTTGGATTTGGCATTTCTTCAAGAGAGCAGTCAGTCTGAAAAAAAATGTTTATCTGACAAGGGAAGGTCAACAGATTTTTCCCAGTAAATGCATAATATCCTATAACAGGCAGTGAACTAAAAGGGCATAAAAGAAAGTGACAGAAGTGGCACTGGCTAAACACCAGTTTATTTTTCCAGAAACATCTGGATGTCTGCCTGCAGATGACCCTAAAGCTTTAGGTAATGTTCATAACTGCACCATGGCGGGCTGTGTAGCCTTTTCATATCATCTTCTATTTCAGACAGACATCCAAACAAAATCATTTGTCTGAAATGTTGACAGCAGGGAGAGAAAACTTCTGTAAACTGTGATAAATGTGAAAACATGCACTTACCACTCCAGCAGCAAGGGCCACTTCCTCCCCTCCTCGCAAATCTGTAGCTCAAGAAAGTATAACTTGTTCATATACTATTATTTGCATAATTATCTGCAGGTTCTTGTCTTACGGGCTATGAAGCTGGATAAGTAATTCAGGATTACAGTTGCTTAAATAGTTAACTAGCTAGCATGTATGTTGCCTTTGAACAAGATTCACGTCTTGTAGAATAGTCACTCCTACAAAACAACAATTAAAATCTTAAGGCTTTTCAGTAAGTTTAATCTTTGAAAGGATACTAAGCGTACTCACACAGCATATAACCTGAATTCAATTAAGAAAAACCCCCATACATTCCGCTGCTGAAAGCTAATGCCTTTAGGCAGAAGTTTTCAAGACACACACTGAAATTCATACTCAGCAGAGGCTTACAGTAAACTCAAGTTCTTCAAGAGTCTTAGGTTTGATCTTTGTGTGGCCCCTGCAATTGCCAGCTGCAAGGTAGATTCCAAAATCATCAGTTCTGATCACAATATACATCTGACACTGACTGTACATCACAGCTTAAACTGCTGCATAAATGTGAGGTTAAAATTAAACTTGTTCGCTCATCATCACAGGTACATGACTAGATGGGAAAGGCTCAGCAGAAGACGACTTCAAATTAACAGAAAGACAACATAATCTGTGTGGCTAGGATAAACAGATTCAGATGGAAAAAAGTGCTGAGGTTGTTACGCACAGACAGTCCTAGACTTATAATTATACCTTGCCTCTTCAGGCTTTAAATATGACTTTAAGATCATACGTAAAAGGCATCTCCAGACTCTACACACTGTTACCTACTAACTCGACGCCCTGCGTTACGCAGGTCAGTCTACCTGAATGCCAGCGCTTACTCAGCATCGCAGCGTACCACCACTGCCCAGCAGCTTAAGATAGTCAGCAAACAAAGCCAACTTTTTGGTAAAAGTCACCCAGCTTGCAGGTTTTCTCCCCTTAGCCAAGGGCACACCACGCTGTAACGGCGCCCGCAGCCTCCGCAGATGGAAGGCCACGCACACTTACTGAGCAAGTCTTTTCTTTTCATTTTCCTGATGGCGACTGGGATCTTCAGCAGCTCCACCGTAAACGCCTTCTCCGCTGTTTGCAGAATCGAATCGAGCTCTTTCTTCATTTCCCGGATATTTTCCTTGGCTTTAAAACAAAACAGGCTTTCATCGTCACACGTGTCACATATTGCCAAGGACCAGCGCGGGCAGACTGCACCGGAACGCAAAGTTCAAACGATGTTTTACCGGGGGTGATCTGCCTTGGGAGCCGGGGCGCCCGACGGCCGCCATCGGGGACTCCTCCGG